TGTCCTCAGCAACAACCCCAACATCAAAGACCATACAGACTATACTCGCAGACTGTCTATCATTACCAATGATTTGTTCCAGGTATGTGGTTTTAATTGGATTTTTTGTTGTGTGTGTGTGTGTACTCTGAAGTTCACTTCCTGGAAAAATGTTTTATTCTTTTTCATCATTGTTAAGAATGAATGAAAGAAATCAAATAACTTTTTTTATCTTTTTTACATCATCTTTGTGTTTAGCAAATATGTGGGTAGCTAATAGATTAAAGTTGTTTATTATATACATCTTTTCAGCTTACCTATCAGCGCGTGTCAAGAGGCATGCTCCACACGGATAGACTCAGCTTTGCATTGCTTCTTGCACGAATTCGCCTCCGCGGTGTTTCTTCCGAGTCCACCTACGACACAGAGTTCCAATTCCTCCTCAAGAGCAAGGAAGGTCTCTTCAACTCCAGCACGTCTGCCATTGCTGGCCTCACCCCAGAGCAGACTGATTCAATGCTGAGGCTTAGTAATAAGTAAGTAACTCTTGGTGTCTGTTTCTCCATCACATATTTATATACAATTTTTTCTACTTCTATTTTCTTGGTACTATCATGTAAAGGACTTGTGTAAGAGTTATGTAAAAGGTTACGAAACTTTTCATTTTAAAAAGATTCCATGGGTGATTTGAATTGTGTAAAAAATAAATAAAAAAATAAATCTTTTACAGAATCCGAGCGTTCACCAACGTGGATAAGTTTGTTGGAACAAAGGAGTTCTCGACCTGGATGGAGGCTGATGCTCCTGAGCTCAATGTTCCAACCATCTGGGAGACTGAGAAACAGCTTTCCCCAGTAGGCCTTTCTGTGTACCAGATGTTGGCTGTTCAGTCCTTCAGACCCGATCGACTCTATGCGGCTGCTAACAACTTTGTGAGCAGTGTAAGTATTATACTTTTGTTACCATCATCTTTTGTTTTGTGTGCGGGGTGGATGGATGCTAATTTAAGATTTGGGATTTTGTGTTGTGGTGGTGTATTTGATCATGAATTGCTCAAGAGAAGGGGATAAGTTGGTTAGACTCCTAGAGAAATGAGAAAATACATTTTCAAATTTTTGCTTTGACAGGTGCTAGGCGACAGCTTCTTGGCCATCGGAGAAAGAGAGGTGGACCTGACCAAGATCGTGGAAATGGAAGTGAAGGCCAACACCCCAGTCCTCATGTGTGCTGTACAAGGCTTTGATGCTTCAGCACGAGTGGATGACCTGGCAGCTGAGTTGAACAAGCCCATGACGGCCATTGCTATCGGTTCTGCTGAGGGCTTCAGCCAAGCTGAAAAGGCCATCAATTCTGCTGTGAAGAATGGCAGGCAAGTAGCATGTGCAGTGCATAATTTGAAGAATGGCAGTGGCAATTGGAATGTGATTACAGGTAGAATTCAAGTGTTTTATCTGATGCCACTTTTTACAGTTATTATAAGAAAGCTATTCTTTTTACAGGTGGGTGATGTTGAAGAACGTGCACTTGGCCCCAGGTTGGTTAGTGCAGCTGGAGAAGAAGTTGCACTCTTTGCATCCTCATCCACAGTTCAGGCTGTTCCTCACCATGGAGATCACTCCACGCCTACCTGTGAACCTTCTGCGTGCTGGTCGGGTGTTTGTCTTTGAACCTCCACCGGGTATCCGAGCCAACCTAATGAGGACGTTCAGCACGGTATGTGAATATCTGACATTGTGGGGTATTTTTTATTTATTTATTTATTTATTTATTTATTTATTTATTTATTTTAAAAGTATCAGCATCAGCAAACCAAGTAAATATTAATAGAATGTTTATCTCATGACTATATTATCCCAATTTATCTTCAGTTTTTGTGTGGCTTGTTTGATGTAATGCACAATTTGCTGTAAATTATCCACTTTTTACATATGGCTAATGATCCAGTTTTATATTAGATATCTTGTAACCCATTCTCACACCTGATAAGATTATTAATTTGTTTACTTTTGTTTCTCTAGGTACCAGCATCTCGCATGATGCGTGCCCCAAGTGAGAGGGCTCGCCTCTACTTCCTCCTGGCTTGGTTCCATGCCATCACTCAAGAGCGACTGCGTTACGCACCACTGGGTTGGGCTAAGTACTACGAGTTCAATGAGTCTGATTTGAGGGTGGCATGCGACACTCTTGATACTTGGATTGAGGCTACAGCTATGGTGAGAACTCATTGCAATGTAGTGATATTGGCTTATGTGTAATAAGTAAGCTACTCCAGTACCACTATATTATGTGAGCCATTTAAAAGTAATAAAAAAGAAAAATGTGTACGATAGTATATCTTGTTATGAAAAGATAAAGAATTAATATTTACTCCAGAGAAACAAGTTAGAAATCACAAAGTTAGACCCTTGGTTAATGAAGTCCTATTTCTCTTGCAGGGTCGCACAAACCTCCCACCAGAAAAGGTACCCTGGGATGCCCTGGCAACGCTAATGTCTCAGTGTATCTACGGAGGCAAGATTGACAATGAGTTTGATCAGCGCCTCCTCACCTCTTTCCTCTCCAAGCTGTTCACACCCAAGAGCTTTGATCCTGATTTTGCTCTGGTCAGCAATGTTGATGGTGAGTATCATGAGGTTTGATTTTTTTTTTGAGAGAAAGTTGTGCAAGATGAATATTCAGGGTATATCTGTAATGGGGAGTATTTTTACAATTTCTTATTATGTGTATATATAGAATTTTCCCAACTTCTAGAGCTATCTGATGCTCAGAATGTGTCTTGATTTTTCTCTGACTACAATAATTTCTTTCATATGTAACTATAACCTCCTATCCCTCCTCATTTAACTGCAGGCAAGGACGGCCAGATCACAATGCCTGATGGTATCCGGAGAGATCAGTTCCTTCACTGGGTTGAATCTCTTAGCGACCGCCAGACACCAACCTGGCTCGGACTGCCCAACAACGCAGAGAAGGTCTTGCTTACCAACAAAGGTATGGCTTTGTTTTTTATTTATTTTATAATAGATAAAGGATGATTAATGTAACAGTTTTTAATAGATATTTGAGAGTTGTAGGGAGACTTAGATTAACAAATTGTTTTTCAGGAACTGATATGTTGGGTAAGCTGCTGAAGATGCAGGTTCTGGAGGATGATGATGAGCTAGCATATGGAGGAGATGAGTCTCCTGGCACCGAGAGGAGGGAAGTTGAGGTAAGAGGAGGCTGTAGGAAAGGTCATGAATTGTATTTCTTAATTTCAGCTTTTCTTGCATTTTTTGCTAATACTGATGTTGATTATGGTAAAAGTATTATTTTAAAAGGTCTATTTGCTTCTGGCATCATGAAGCATTCAACAACAAACTGTGTGAATTGCTGTTTTATCTGGATAATTTTATTTATTTATTTCGTATTTTTTTTCTTTGCAGGGACGTCCATCTTGGATGATTACGCTGAACCAGTCTGCTGTTACTTGGCTATCACTGCTGCCAGAACTGGTTATCACTCTGCGGCGCACAGTGGACAACATCAAGGATCCTCTGTATCGCTACTTTGAACGTGAAGTTAATTCAGGAGCTAAGCTTCTGCGCATTGTCAGGAATGATCTTAATGATGTCATTCTTATCTGCAAGGTATGTTGAATTCATGCTGTGCATGAAAGGAGAAATGCATTTATCTGAATATTTAACTGTTTGATTTGTGGACACTTTTGGAGATTAGAAATTAATAAATGAAAACTATTGACATGTTTTTATTTTATTTTTATTGTAAGCTTGCAAATTTATTGGTAATGAATACAAAATGAAGTAATGGTCTCTTTTCCTTTAGGGTGAGAAGAAACAGACCAATTACCACCGAACAATGGTCAGCCTCCTCGTGAAGGGCATCATCCCTGATCAGTGGAAACTGTACACTGTACCTCGAGGAGCCACAGTGAGTCAGTGGGTGACTGACTTTGCACAGAGAGTCAAACAGCTGCAAGATATCTCTCAGCAAGTGGCACAGTTTGGTGCAGTGGAACTAAAGGTGGGGATTCCCTGTTCATTATTGATTTTCTGTAGTACTGAGGAAAATAAACTATATTTGTATAAGTTTTTTTCCTGTATCTAAAATGTATATATACAGACTTCTGACTTGTAACCATGGATCTCAATTGCTTTCAGAATGTGACCGTATGGCTTGGAGGCCTCTTCAATCCCGAAGCTTACATCACAGCCACAAGGCAGTGTGTAGCTCAGGCCAACTCCTGGTCTCTGGAGGAACTGACATTGGAAGTATCCATTGCCGATTCTGAGGGCCAGGTCACAGCTGCAGGCGGATTCAATATCAAGGGTAATGGGACTTTGCGTTTTGTTTTCTGCTGAATGTGTGAAGAAAAATTTGTTCATTTTTATTCTTACACTTGTTAGTCTTTTGAGTTCTGAATATTCTTTGTGTAGAGCAGTGGTTCCTAACTTTTTTTCATTCTGTGGCCCCTAACCAATATATAGTCATCTCCATGACCAAGTTCAGTGAGTGTCATCTTTTCAAATTCCGTGAAAGTACCCCCAGGTTGGGAACCCTTGGTGTAGAGGGAAAGTAAAGTTGACAGAAATATTTTCCTACTAACAATGTATATTTTCTTTTCTTTTTGTAGGCTTGAAACTGCAAGGTGCCCTGTGCAAGAAGAATGAACTGCACCTCACACCAACTATCATGACAGAGCTGGCAATGGTCACTCTTCAGTGGGTACACCTGGAGAGTACTGAAACAGACAAGATCACCCTGCCTGTTTACCTGAATGCCACACGAACAGACCTGCTGTTTACAGTTGACTTGACAATGGCACCCAACCAGAGCACCCACAGCTTCTATGAGCGTGGTGTGGCACTTCTGACTTCAACTAGTCTCAACTAATTCTGCAGATTTTGGGTTTTAATGTTTTAATTATGCAAAAGATTTCAACACATTCCTGAGAATTCTTCTGTGTACTGATTTTTAATTAATTGGAAGATGCATAACCAAAGAATAAAAGGCTAATATAA